CCCCAAAACCCCAAAACCCCAAAACCCCAAAACCCCAAAACCCCAAAACCCCAAAACCCCAAAACCCCTTATATCAATTATTATATTGAATGATCTAATTTTTATGAGATCTCCCTGGAATGCTCTTGAAGTTATCGAAGAGGAAATTGACTCCCATAACTTGCTTAATAACTTCTCTGTCGTATTTACCGAATCTGAGAATTTCTTCAAGGACACCAAACAGAATAGTCACATCTTCAGGATAGCATCCTTGCTTTTGGAGAGATCCTTTGTCTTTTGAGACTTCAATTGAGGATTTTATGTAGTGTGACATGTATACAAGGTATTTCTTAAAATGCGAGTTATGGAACTGCTTGAATATCGTGATCAATCCCATAACGAAACAAGGTCCGTCTATATTTGAGCTCTTGTTCTTTCTCACAAGTGAATTGACATTCAAATCATATTGTAAATGATTACAAGCTATCAAAGTCATTAAAAGCATATTAAGTGCCATATAATCAAGATCTTTAGTCAAGACATAGACCTTATTAATGGGTTCTAAAAAGCCAGAGCTCTCGAGTATACCCCCAAGATCTTTCAGGAGGTTTCTAAGGATCTTCTCCCCCTTGGTCTCTTCTCTGTGGTCTACAAGGTAGTTGTGACCTCCATTTTTCTTACGCTCTTCATTATTTTCTCTTCTTCTCTTCGTATTGAGAGTCATCTGAGTCATATTCTTCATCTACTTCTTCGATAATATCTTCTTTTATCTCTTGAGCACTAGTCTTAAGGACTTCCATGGAGTTGAAAGTAGAGGTATTTAGATTTGACAGACAGGAATAGAAGAATGGGGTCTCCATTTTTGCAACAAAATTCAAGTGACTGAGCACTATGCGGCGGACTAGTTGTAGCTGGCCTTGTGAGCAGAGTATATTTATAAGCTTAGAATACACTGGTTTGAAAGACTCCATGAGAAGGGAATATCCTTTATACTGGGCTTCTGTAGCAGTATAGAAGTCAGGAATTCCTCTTTCAAATGTCTTTAAGGTATGCTTAAGATTTTGAACTCTAGTTCCAGACTTTATACTATCTTGCTTCGTGATTCCTCCTCCACCGATCATTCGGCCATACTCTCTGATGAATACTTTGAAGTCATTGACTATTCTGTAGCTGAGCATTTGATCAAGACTCTGAATATAGACTATTCCCAGATCTTTTTCTAATGCGACTACATTTCTGAGCCCAAACACTTGTCTGCCAGTCTCTGTTGAGTAGAAGTTACTGACTTGGTCAAGATAGAGCACCTTATCTGGTGATAAGATACTAGCCAGCTGGTTCATCATTCTTCCAAGGAAACTAGGGCTTTTATCATTCTCTGGAGTTGGATATTGAGGGATTGGAATACCCATGTCAAGGCTGTTCACTTCCATCTTCTTGGTGATAACATTCATACCTTCTTTGTCAAGACTATATCTGAAAATTCTAGAGACTTCTTCTCTCCAAATTTGCTCTGCAGGGATGTTGAGAAAATCTTGGATATATTCGAATGACTTCTTTAGACCTTTAAACTTTGCAGTAAGTGTGCCTAGCTTTTTCTGAAGCTCGTTATTGTCACCTTTGGTGCTGAAGATAAAGACAGAGTGAAGGAGTCTTGAAACATTGGTAACTAGTTCTTTCCTAATTCCTTCAACTAGCATCTCCTTCGGATTGACTTGGATCACTCCCATGAGGGCTTTATCAAGGCAGAGGATACCTTCAGTGTATACAGAGATTTTGTGTGTTAGCTTCGCTAGTTGATACCTGTCTTCAAATACAGTGTAATTCTTCAGTTCATCCTTTGACATTTTTACAGGGAGCTCTGGTATTTTAGAAATTAGTAAGTTAGAGATCTCTTCAAGGTTTTCGAATATTGAAGTTGGGATTACTTGGAGTACTCTTTTGACATACTTCACTAGCTCTGAGGAGTAGTACATAGCAATATTTTCGATATCGTCACTGTTAGCCTCCATCATTCTTCCTAGAGGGAGATTCATGATAGATGCAAGTTTCTTGAATAAAGTTTTAATGAGAAGAACAGTACGAGGCTTTTCTTTGATTCTTTCCTGGATTTGCGGCATATAATCATCAATTACGTTCCATGCGTATGAGAAGTCGCTTATATGAGAAATATTTACTAGATACGATCTTTTCACATTCACGCTACGGACCATATGGAGAAGACCTTTCTTAGTCTCTTGTATAAAGTGTTTAATCTGGACGTTAGTTTCAATAGGCTCATAAATTTCAATATCATCTAGAGCCTGAACGATAGACTTGATAGTTCTTCCTGCAACAGTCGAATGTTTATAAGAGAGATTTTCTATTCTCTCTCCAATCTGTTTGAACCAGTTGGAGTAGTTTTCATCAACACATTGCTTGCCCATATGTCTGTTTCCCAGGAAGTATTCGGCAATTTCTTGCATGTAAAACACGCATTCTCCTTTATCTTTGACCCATACCTGACTTTTTGTTTTAACCAGGTTCTCAAATAGATCTTTGAGCTCTTTTTCAAACTTAGAAGTAGCAAGGAGGAGCTCAATAATATCATCAGTCTCGTGATTGGCTAATATGATATCTCTGAGAGATTTACTCCTTCAATTTCTGTGTAATAAAAGCCATCTGATGGTAATGTTGCACTCTCGTAGACATTGCAAGAGGGGCTGAACGTTGTCAAGAACGTACTCATCTAATAATTTACCTTGCTTTAGATAAAGTCTGAGGTCTTTCCTAAGAGTCTTGACTTTGTCTTGATGATAAAGCGCTATTTGTGTAACCTTCTTCTCGTTTACGTTGTTCTTAATGGCTTTTCTGGAGGCTTCAAACTGACCCCAGTACTGAGTAATGTCCACTAGATATCCTTGATATACAGGGATAACCCAATTATCATAGAAGTGCTTATCAACTATTTCTCTCATCTTTGTCTCTTCGTCCTCTAAAAGTGTGGGTAAGAAAAAGGAGCAGACGAAAATCATGGTTCCTTGTTGAGCTAAAGCTGTAGATTTGTGATGTACTGAAGAATAAGAGTTCAGCATTTGGTAAATATCATCACTTTTTATTTGCTCAACAATGTTTTCCACACATTCTTTATATGGGGACTGGCCAAAGCAGAACCTATCGAAATACTTTATGGGATACCCTTTAGGAAATGCAGAACCTGGGGAATACCCTGTACCACCACAGAGTTTAAAAATTTCCTTAACATTTTCTATGGATGACTGTCCTTTGTATCTATAATAGCTGACCAGGATCCTTTCTCTTGAGTAGGATGGGATAAGCCTATCCAAAAGTATTAACATGACTCCATAGTTATACAGAAGCTCAGCCATTAGTTGTCTGCCGTCTCTCAATAGCAAAATGCCTTCAAAAGTATACTCAAGGAAGAAACCGTCCCTGATATTGTCCAGATACTTGACAAAATCCTGATAGTAAAGATAAATACTTGTATATAGCTGATAGAATCTTTCTATGATGTCTATGTAAGACTCTCTGAAGTTCTCATCTAGTTCGATCAACTCAACAGTGTTCTGGATCTCATCTTCATAATCTTCTGCCTTATCAATGTAGCTACAGTCGAAGATTACCTTGGAGTAGACTCTTCTTTCGTAGGATTCTTCATTTTTGAATACAAGGGGAATAAACCTTGATAGTCTCTGGATCTCAGCAATAATTGCACTTCCTTCCGCACTTAGTTTAATGGCTGCCTGGCCACAATCATTCTGGGAATCTGTAAAATTGAACTTTAGTTTCTCCATCTTCAATGCCTGTTTTGTTCTATTTAGTAATAATTTATAGGGGTTTTGGGGTTTTGGGGTTTTGGGGG